AAAATTTAAAAAGTGTCCAATTTTCTAGTGTCCTGAAGTGGCTCTTTTATTAAGCCACTTCTCAATATTGAGAATTCACACTGGAAGGAGACCTGACATCCAGGAAGGCTCCCTTTGGTCATAGAATCATAGAATTGAATAATGAAGTTGGAAGGGGGCCTGTAAGACTATCGAGTCCAATCTCCTGCTCAATGCAGGAATCCAGATCAAAGGATATCTGCCAGGTGGTTGTCTAAATTTCTCTTAAATGTCTCCAGTGTTGGAGCACTCATCTCTCAAGGCAATTGATTCTATTGCTGTATTGCTCTAACAAGAGTTTTTTTTCCTGATATTCAACAAAAATCTGGCTTCCTGTAACGTGAGCCCACTGATGCGTGTCCTGCACTCTGGGATGATCAAGAAGAGATCAAGTATTTGAAAAAAGTGTTGTCATATCACTCCTCGGTCTTCTTTTCTCAATACTGTACATACCCAGTTCTTTCTGTCTTTCCTCAGAGGGCTTGGTTACCAGCCCTCCAATCATCTTTCGTCTGAACTTGTTCCATTTTGTCAGCATCCTTCTTGAAGTGCAGTGTCCAGAACTGGGCACAATACACTAGATGAGTCCTAACCAATGCTGAATAGAGGGGAATGAATACTTTATGAGATTTGGAGACTGTACTTCTGTTAATGCAGCCTAAAATAGCATTTGCCTTTTTTGTAGCCACCTCACACTGTTGGCTCATATTAAGCTTGTAATCTACGACGATTCCAAGATCCTTCTCATTTGTAGTATTGCTGAGCCAGGTATCCCCCATCTTGTGACTGTTTATTTGGTTTCTTTTTTCTAGGTATAGTACTTTGCACTTATCCCTGTTGAATTTCATTCTGTTGTTTTCAGCCCAGTGCTCCAGCCTAAGAAGATCATTTTAAATTTTATTTCTGTCTCCCAGGGCATTAGTTATTCCACCCAATTTTATGTCACCCACTAATCTGATTAGCATTCCCTGCACCCCCTGATCCAGGTCATTAATAAAAATGTTGAAGAGTATATCACATGCTGGAAAGGGATCAAACTGGAGTGACCCTACCTAGACTAAAAAAGTAGAAGCCCTAACAGGGGTTCAGTAGGGTGCAGACAGGACTGTTTTGGGGATCGTTTGGTTCACTGCACCAATGACATCATGTGATCACCAGAAAAAAGAGCAATCAAATCATGCTTGCAGTAGATGAAACAGTTGGACAGACACCCATCTGATCAAGCCCTGAATAACTAACAGTGAGGAGATGGTTTGCAAATTGTGTGTCGTCTTTGTATTGTGGTGGTTACATTATTATTATTATTATTGAATACTATTGAGTCATGCATGGCCTGCCAGTATAGTACAATGCAGTATAAGTCAGGTAATTAAGAGGCAATCGTATCAAAACACTGGTATATATGGTGTAGGTGATCACGGAGCAAAAGGAAAACTAATGATAGGGGTGATCACAGAACAATAGGAAGACAATTGCTTTAGAGAGGTTGCAAAGAAGTCGACCACAGATGTCCAAGCCAGCGGAGCTTAAAAGCCATGTCTTGAGAACTCTTTTTATTAACTTAGCAAGGGTTACATCGTATGTTGTGAGAATTCAGATAGGATACTGGTTACCTAGTCACCACTAGGATTGGGCAGAGAAAGTCTTTGAACCTATGCCCTAACTCTAAGGGAAAAGGCAGAATGAGAGGTCCATCCCGCCTGTCAGGAGCCGCTGCTCTCTGCCAGGAGAATTTGCTCATCACTGAAAACAGATAACAGCTAATGGCCTTGGGCAGGAGCTTCCCACAATACGGAACTGAAATTTTGTTAAGACTAAGCTCCTTTAAAGGTAAAGGTAAAGGTTCCCCTTGACAGTTTTTTGTCCAGTCGTGTTCGACTCTTCGGGGTGGTGCTCATCCCCGTTTCCAGGCCATAGATCCTGCGTTTGTCCGACCACATGGCCAGTGTGACTTAGACACGGAACGCTGTTACCTTCCCACCGAGGTGGTCCCTATTTATCTACTTGCATTTGCATGCTTTCGAACCGCTAGGTTGGCGGGAGCTGGGACAAGCGAGGGGCGCTCACTCCGTCGCTTGGATTTGATCTTACGACTGCTTGGTCTTCTGACCTTGCAGCACAGGCTTCTGCGGTTTAGCCCACAGCGCCACCACGTCCCTACAGCACCACCACGTCCCTGCTCCTGAAAAGCTCCTGAGAAGCTGCTCCTAATGAAACACTTTGGGATAGGAAAATATTCATATGTTACACTGGACTGGAATCAGGAGTACATTTAGCTAAACCTAGGTGCATTATCTTATGTGAACTTTCTACTAGAGCAGGGATATAGACATTGGGCACAATCTGTAATCTTTTTATTGGTACACTTTTGACAAAGAGGAAGCTGAAATTAGGCACAGAGGATGTATTAACTATGTTTTGTTTAATCTTCTTGCATTTATTATTAAACTTTTTTATTAATATAACAAAATATAACAAAAACATAAACAACAAATAAAATATATATTCTCATCAATATATTTCATCTTAATTTATATCATGTGCCCCGGCTCTTTCCAAAAATATAATGATCCTTGTGTTCAGGTATAATCTTTGTTTTGTAAATACATATTCTATATAAGGTTTCCAAATACCCCAAAACTATTTTCCTTCAATAATCCTTTTTTAACTTTCAATTCACAAGTTAATGTATTGTTAATAGCTAGATTTCACATCTCATTATACCATTTTTCCAACACCAATTGATTGTTATTTTTCCAATTCCTTGAAAATATAAGTTTAGCTGCTGTTAACATAATAACAATTCGTTACATTTTCCTGTTATCTAATTGACAGTTTCCAAATATATTTAACAGTGCTAACATTGGACATCTTTGTTAATCTATCCCTAGAATTTCTTTAATCTAATTAAGTATAATTCTAATCATTATGCCTTCTGGGAAACTTCTGAGTGGACCCAGATTTGTTAAGGCCACTGTGTTCCTTCAGAAGAAGAGAAGTCATCAGATGCTCCTCCAGTGATGACTGGGAAAGTTGGCTAGTAACAGCCCATCAAGTTCCTGATGCTTACTTTTCTTATCTTTGTTTAAAAAAATGGCAAGAGCCTCGTGGCGCAGTGGTTAAACTGCTGTACTGCAGCCAAAGCTGTGCTCATGACCTGGGGCTCAGTCCCAGGTAGCCGGCTCAAGGTTGTCTCAGCCTTCTATCCTTCTGAGGTCAGTAAAATGAGTACTCAGCTCATGGGGAGGGGGAATGTGTAGCCTGCATAACTAACTTGTACACCGCTCAGAGAGTGCTTGAAGCACTATGGGGCGGTATATAAGCAGCACACTTTGCTTTGCTTTGCTTTGCTTTGCTTTATCCCCTCAGGGCAAGATGGCTATTTCTTTTAGAAGTAAAATGGCTTTGCTTTGGCTTACTGTAGCCCAGCGAAGCTTATGGTTGTTTTTGCAGTGACAGCAGCAGCAGTGGCACAATCGCAGCACACCCACCCAACCACCTCAGTTTGAGTTGGCTACCCATAACTACTTTTAACATGATTCATGGAGTGAACTCAATTCCAAAGGTCCTGAAATAATGCAGAAAAAAAACTTCTTTTAAAAGTGTGCTGCTGACCAGCCCCTTCTACCTTCTAAAAGCCTGTTAACTTTGTAAGTAAAGGATGATGATATTTTCAACTTGCTCCAGTGTGACTGTTGCTTTTGTTAACACAATATACACAGACCAAAGTGCATGCACTTCCGCTCTCACACAGGGTTGGTGCTGGATTAGTTGCCAGACTCCAGTCTTGTTCTCATAGCACAAAAGCTTGATAATATGATGAATATATCATGATGATTTAGAGGTCAAAATAAAAATTGAATTGAGTTCTCCATCCAAAGCAATTATTTTAAAAGTTTATTTCTAGGAGCAGTGGATACTTTAAAAGAAGTTTTTTAGCCTTTTTGATGAGAACATATTTGAGAGTGACAAATGGCTAGCAGGATGGTTTGAGGATGTGAAGTGTTTCTCGTTCTTCACTCTTGCGCACATGTATAGAAAGAAGCATATGCAGGCTATCTCATGGGGCACACCCAGTCTGAGAGGTGTGACAACAGATGGAACACATCAGGCTAATGCCCTGGCATAAATGTGATAGTGCACTATGGCACATAGGGAGATTTGGAGATCTGGACCCAATATTACTCAGCAAGTGCACAAGTGGTGAAAAAGCATCTTAAATAAAACTATGTGATTTCTTTATATACAGTACCCACATAGCTCTTGCTTAGTTGTCTGCATCCCAACATGCTCTTTTTTGTCTTGCCCTTTATCACACTAAGTCTTGCCCAATTTTGCTCAATTTTATAAGCCCCATTTGTTTTCATCAGATGCATATGTAAGCCATGTAGGGCTGGAAGTATTTGAGTGCCTTCAGCAGGAAATTTAGGTCTTCCCTTCTTTTTCTTTCTTTCTTGGTGGCAACAGCCATCTGTTGCCCTCATCATGCTATACAGCAATATTGGCAAAATATAGTTCTGTCTTGTGGGCATCTCTCTTCATAGTTATATATAGTTTTTTTCCCAAAATGCTGTTCTGTTAAAAGGTTATCAACCCCATCTTTCTCCTCCTCCACATCCACACTTTGACCCACTAAACAATTTAAGAACATGTAGAACATTGTGTTCATCTAAAAGAATAATTTGATACCTGCCATTTCTTTTTATTGGCTGTTTCTCATAGACAGCACAAGCTGTGCTGCACTGTAGACAGATGATGCTACTTTAGGAGTTAAGCAAGGAGAATTTTAGTCCAGCCAATCAAATATTTGTGTTAGTACATAGAGTCTGTTTTAGCAGAACTGCCTTTTTAAAAAAGGCAGCAAATCTTCAATGCCATATGTGAGCCTTTCCTCCCCCATACAACTGGAGATCATCTATGAATGGAGAAAGCACATTTTGATTATCTAACTGTGTGATGCTTTGTTTTCCATTTGCATACAGATTTCAGCAATGTGCCTGACGTTGCTGCAAGTCTAAGGAGAAGTAGCACGGATGGCACTCTGGATCAGGTTCCAAAGAAGGAGAAACTTGAATCACCTTTCAGGGTAAGGGTGCTTTGAAAAAAAATTTAAGTAGATGAATTAATCTATAGACATGTACAGAAGACTTGTTGGCAGCTTTTGTTGGTGGAATGATGTAGCAAAAAACAAAACAAAACCCCAAACCATGTTAATTGTATCTGTCTAATCTTAATCTTGTATCCTTCTTGAGTCATTACGTCCATTGTTATGATAACCGCTGTAATATAGGAGAAAACTTGCTTAAAGGAGACCAAGTGCATCATACCATACTGTGATAAATGTAAATGACATCTGTCCATAATTATTGTGCTTGGTGATAAATCAGGAGCTGCTAAATGCTACTATGTGTTCTGGTTGATAACAGGCTGCACTTAAATCTGGGAAGCCCGGATTCAAATTTTCTGTTGCCAAACGTTAAATACTTGAACAATCATGGGGTTGTTGTCAGAAAGAACATGACTTGTAAAGTGCTTGGTGTACATGAAAGTGTGCCAGTAGCTATTCTTTATTACTTTTGTGCTTAGCATATGTACTTTGAGCAGTTCGTGAAAATGTGATTTGTGATTTTAGGATTCAGAGGATCATAGTTATTTAGACATTCTGACAGATAATTTTTTTCACACTACAAAGGTGGTACAGTCAGTGGTTTGAGCCTGCGTTTATACTTGTGTGTGTGTGTGTGTGTGTGTGTGTGTGTGTGAGAGAGAGAGAGAGAGAGAGAGCATTAATTGTTAGTAGAAGGAGAATGAGTTGTTGATTCCAATGCACCTGGGATTTCTGTCTTCTTTCTCACCCTCACCCTGTCTCTGTCTCTCCTATTCTTTGGTCTGGCTGATTAGAAATGAAGTTGAATAGCTTCACTCCACAACTGGCTAAGGAAGTCACTTAAAAATGCTTAAAGAGATTGGTCTGCAGTGCAGTGCAATACAGTGGAGGCTGATGAGAATGAGATTCAAGGCAAGGCTGTTTTAAGGGTGTTGGGCATTTTTGCAGCTGGAACAGGAGTTCTGAATGGTTTGTAGTTTCTTCAGTGCAATGCTTTTTTTGATCATGGGATTTTAGGTAAAGACAGATCTAACTGAAGTTTCATCTAGTTTATTGTGCATTGGTAATGAACTGTTTTTGTCCTCTCCTTCTCCACCTTTGGTACTGAATCCATATTTCCAGGGCAAGAGCATTTCTGTTTTGCTTGCTTTGACTTGGAAACATAAATATCCAGATAGAAACTGTGCTCCCCTTTGAACCTAAGTAGAGCTAAGCACCCGCTGCTGTCTGCAGTCCATTTCCATTCCAGTGTGGTTAAACTAGTCCCACGGACGTCTCAAAAATGACAACCTGGAAATCTTGAGGCCCACCCCATTTTGCATTCAAAGTGGCTAGGCTCCATAATAGTTAAAGACATCATGTTGAGGGCACAAAGGGAGAGTTACTTTCCTCGGTCTTGGGGGTGAAGTCAAACAAAAAAGAGAGATAGTGTGGCTCTAAGGCATTGGTCCCCAATCTTGAGCCTCCAGATGTTCTTGGACTACAACTCCCAGAAGCCTTCACCACCACCTCTGCTGGCCAGGATTTCTGGGAGTTGAAGTCCAAGAACATCTGGAGGCCCAAGGTTGGGGACCACTGCTCTATGGAGAAATAAAACTCTTCCTTTCGAGTTCTGGCTTCTTGTCTGAGTTGAAGCTGGCTGAACATGGCTTACAAAAGCTGTGTTTCTGAGGGACAGTTAAACAAAGGTGAATAGAAAAAATGATAACACAAGGAGTGCTTGGTTAGTCCTCCAAGCTGCTGTTCTGTCTTGAGATGAGAATTGCACCATGATTCCTATCAAGTCTTGACCTTGTGAATTCAAAAGTACTGTTATGGGTTGGCTGATCTGGGTAATCAGGAAGGCATTTGCATTCATCTGGAGAACTCTAGTCTTGTAAACTGCAAGAAGGCAACTTCTCTTAAAACAATTAAAGCATAAGGAATATACCATATTTTTCTGTTTATAAGATGATACTTTTATCTAAAATCTTTAGATAAAAAATTGCTGGTCGTCTTATCCATGGAAGTAAGAGGGAAAGAGATCAAAGGACTGCAGGATCACAGCCCTTTGATCCTGCAGCTCTTTCATCGCTACATTACCCCTCCATTCGGGGCTTAGGAAATGGAGGGGTAAAGCATTGATGAAAGGGCTGCACAACTGCAGCCCTTTGATCTTGCAGCCCTTTCACTGGTAAAGCATGCTTTACCCCTCCATTTCCTAAGCCCCGAATGTATGGGTAAAACAATGATAAAATTTTCTTATTTGGGGATGAAAAAGTGGAGGTCATCTTATACACAGAAAATATGATAGGTCATGAACTTCAACAGCAGCAATGATGTGTGGCCTAGCTTACTACCTTCAGCATCTTCCCGTGCCCCTACAGCCTTTTCCAAAAGAATAAAAAATATATTAGGCAAAGTATAGGCTGATACCAGCATACCACCACCAACAGTTTGTATCATGAATTTATGTATCATTAAATCACCTCAGATTTATGTCATCCTTAGGAGTGAGTGACCTCCAAAAGGTCCTGTTATTAGGTCTGCCTGGATCTTGCCAGCTGAAGGCCATGTCTTCTTTTATTGAGTGAATCTGTCTCATATTTGGTCTTTCTCTTTTCCTGCTGCCTCCAGCTTCTCACAACATTATTGTCCTTTTCAGTGAGTCAGATCTTTTAATTATGTGTCCCAGGTATGAAAGTCACATTTTGTCACTTTTGCTTCTACGAGCAAGAAGAAGAAGAAATTCAAACTTGATTTGATGTAGCATCCACTTGTCTGTTTTTTGACAGTCTGTAATATTCAAAAAGTTTGCTTCCTGCATAAGATTTTGAATGGATGTTTTTCTGCCATATTTCTTCAGTGTGGATGATCTTGGCCTTGGTCCCCAGTGACACATCCTTACATTTGAGAATCTTTTCTAGTTCTTTCATAATTTTCTTCTCAAATCTCAGTATCTCTTAATTTATTAATAAATCAGTTTGCTTGATTGATTAACTGCAGTTGGATTAATGATTGAATGGAGGTATACAAAGTATTTAAAAATTGTAGTTTCTTATTGTCAACATTAAAGTTATGAAATTATTCCACAATCATGAAGTTTTGTTTTCTTACTCTTCAACTGCAATACTTCTTCTTTTTTGCGCTTTCTGGTTTCACCATCATCGGGAATCATTTCTAGTCATTGCTTTCTTCTAGTAATATAGTATCAAATATCTTAAATCAATGATATTTTTTCACCTATTTTCACCACCATGTGGTGATAACATTGAGTGTGTTAGGTAAGTTAAGAGCAATGCCATTAGGAAGCTGAGATACCAGTCTGAAGGACAGAAACATATGTAAAGAGATAGACCATTTGCAGAAATTGGAAATTTTACTTTTGGGATTATAGCATCCGGAATCGCACAGCTCAATGAACTGTAGTCCAAAAAAAGAGAGACACGTTTTCCATCTTGGCATGCACACTGCCGCTTGTTGCACCAAAATGACCACAGAAGAAAGCTTAACTGCATGCAAATTTGCAATCAAAGAAACCTACAGAAAATTGGCAGGAAAGCAAACATAATGAGTACCAGCAACAAATCAAATCAAAATCAGTCTCTCCATGGATGCTGCTTCTTGACACAAATCAACAGCCTCCTCCCCCATTTGATGTATGGGGGGGGGGCGGAAACCATGGTTTTATTTCCACCCCTGCAAAAGCAGGAGTTGCATCTCTTTGGCTCTTCTATTCTCCTTGAGACCACTCTTAGGCGGGGATAAGAAAACTGTTTTGGCAGTAAGTACCAGTGAGCATGGTGAAGATTATGGTTGTTGTAGTCAAAACTGTATGGAAGGTCACAGGTCGGGGAGGACTCTTCCAGACTACAGTTCCCACAGTTCCAGACCACTTGTCTTGCTGGCTAGGATTAGTAAGGATTGTCCATACAGCCTCAGCCAGTATGGTCAGTGATTGGAAGTGCTGGGAGCTATAGTTCAAAACATTTGGGAGGCAGAAGAATGGAAGTTGTTGTTGTTTAGTCGTTAAGTCATGTCCAACTCTTTGTGACCCCATGGACCAGAGCACGCCAGGCCCTTGTATCTTCCACTGGAGTTTGACCAAACTCCCGGAGTTTGGTCAAATTCATGTTGGTAGCTTCGATGACACTGTCCAGTCATCTCATTCTCTGTCACCCCCTTCTCTTGCCTTCACACTTTCCCAACATCAAGGTCTTTTCCAGGGAGTCTTTTCTTCTCATGAGATGGCCAAAGTATTGGAGTCTCAGCTTCAGGATCTGTCCTTCCAGTGAGCACTCAGTGTTGATTTCCTTCAGAATTGATAGGTTTGTTCTCCTTGCAGTCCAGGGGACTCTCAAGAGTCTCATCCAGCACCACAATTCAAAAGCATCAATTCTTCAGCGGTCAGCTTTCTTTAGGGTCCACCTCTCACTTCCATACATCTCTACAGGAAAAAACATAACTTTGACTATGTGGACCTTTGTCGGCAAGGTGATGTCTCTGCTTTTTAAGATGCTGTATAGCTTTGTCATCGCTTTCCTACCAAGAAGCAGGCATCTTTTTAATTTTGTGGCTGTTGTCACCATCTCCAATGATCATGGAGCCCAAGAAAGTAAAATCTATCACTGCCTCCATATCTTCCCCTTCTATTTGCCAGGAGGTGATGGGGCCAGTGGCCGTGATCTTAGTTTTTTTCTTTTTTGATGTTGAGCTTCAGACCATTTTTGGCGCTTTCCTCTTTCACCTTCATTAAGAGGTTCTTTAATTCCTCCTCACTTTCTGCCATCAGAGTGGTATCATCTGCATATCTGAGATTGATTTCTTCCGGCAATCTTAATTCCAGTTTGGGATTCATCCAGTCCTGCCTTTCGCATGATGTATTCTTCATGTAAGTTAAATAAGCAAGAAGACAATATACAGTCTTGTCGTACTCCTTTCCCAATATTGAATCAATCAGTTGTTTCATATCAAGTTCTAACTGTTGCTTCCTGTCCCAC